ATAACTAATCAAAAGTGTATATTTGTAGGCTTTCTTGGCGTTTGGGTCGATCACTATAGTCACAGAAAGCATGGCATATCAGACCTGAGATTCAATGACGAATGTGTGGGTTACAAACATGTTGGTGAGTTCTCAACAATTATGTATGCAAACGAAGGAAAGAATATAATTGAGCAACATAATCCAACTAAGGTAAGTACATGCATTTAATGCCAGTAAATAGTACGCTAAAATTGAATGTTTTTTAACACTAATTGAAAAACAATTGTTTGTCAGTTAAACATATCAAAGTTGGTATAATTGATCCATTGTGTTGTATATTGATATAGAACATTTATTTGCTGATTATATTGTATTATCTTCCGTATATCACATAATACGATGATAAGTGGCCATATCATTTACTGTATGATAACTCATTATATCTAATAAAACAGTACATGACTTTTTTTGTGACAAATTCACTTTGCTGTGTGTAATAGCCCCTTGTTTCTTCTGATGGCGTTTTCTGCAGTCCATACGCCAATACAAGTCCCATATATCTATGAGCACCAATATGAATCAACCATCCGTGACCAAAATAAAAAAATATACGCAGGAATGGCATCGTGCGTTGACGAAACTATAGCGAATATCATCAAGGCACTCGACAATAAAGGAATGTTGAAGAACACTGTAAATGTATTCACAACAGGCAAGTAGTCGTGCTGATCAATGTATGGTCTCACATGCAAACCTCATAAAGAAATTATATAAGCACTGTTTTCTTAACCCATTAAACATTGTACATGCATTTCAATCAGTTTGTTGGACTTCAAAATTTCATACTTTCGATTATAACATTCATTTTCAGACAATGGCGCCGGAAGATATGGAAGCAATTGGCCTCTGAGAGGGGGTAAAAAATCGCACTGGGAAGGTGGAGTGCGAGCAGTCGGTTTTGTCTATAGTGATTTACTACCAATGGTGTTGATCAATGGGACATGATAAGGTATTTATCAATAGTTTAGAATATTTAATTTAACGATGTAGTTCTGGAATAACACATTCTTGCAATACCATCAAGTTATATATTTTTAGAAAGCTTATTTTTCAAATAATATAATATAAATATTCCAACAAAAAAATGGAACCATGTAATCACGTGATTATGTGCAAATAGAGAGATGTTATTTTTGAAGAAACGGAAATAAGGCCACATAAATGATGTTCGTGGTACTTAGAGATACTATAAAAGGTTTGAATTCAATTTTCTAGTTCGTCTACTGTTGCGTGGCCTAGGTTTTGACCTCATACCACTTTTTAAAAACATCGTCAACGGGAGAGTTGTTTCATATTTTCTAAAGTCAAAGTGGTAGACAAACTATCTTTGCCAGATTTCATTAGCAGCTATCACAGAATACCTATGCAAGAATGACCATCGTGGAGCAGCTGGGAGTCGAGATGAACTCACTCGACTAACCTCAAATACCGATGTTTTCTTATGCGTGAAAAATAATAATCTCAGATTTACTCAAAATGTATCACCCTTTTTCTAGTTAAATGCATGTTTTATATATTTTTGTAAGAGAATGTGAAAAAAAAGTAAATCTGATATTTTCAAAGAAAAAAAAAATTTACTACATTCTTAATCAGAAATCCAGAGATATATAAACGACATGGGTATACACGTAAGTAATTAGTTTTGAGTAAAGATTTTTAATCATTGAATATTTTAACAGCTTTACCAGTCGAGTCAATAATTAAAACGTTTCTAGTTTTTGAATTCATCAACAGATATCAACATTCTTTATATTACACAATACTTCATTCGTTTCAATTATACGAGTGTCATATGACTGTCACTGACCAGAGCTTTAATGCGGCGTGGTAATAAGAATGTAATAAGATTACAAGTACGTTGATTCACAATGTGTATACCCGTCACGCAAGCTATTTTATTTATTTATATAACTTTGAAAATTCGGTTTTGTAGAAATCATTACAAATAAATCAGTATTCATGTTGTAATATATAATTTGTCTTCCAAAAAGTGTTCTCAAATCGATTTCGGGATATTAATATTGTTGTGTTGAAAATAAAATATATTTAATTTCAATTTATACAATTAGACTGTGTCTCAATGCTTGCATATTTAAGGTTTAAACAGGCAATCAATTAAAGAGATTAAAATAAATGTATAATCAGTTTGACGTCACAGAAGATCTATTTTATTAGAGAGCGCTTAATGTGTATTTTCTTATCGTTCATAACACCATTTAGTAATTCAGTGATATGACTGGTGAAATACATCTGCGTTTGTCGGGAAAAGCACATCATGAACATTTATTAATAATTTTAATTTCTTCATGGTTTTGCCTAACATAGATGAGAATTGGTGAAATATTGTATGTTGTTTACAATATTACAATACACTGACTTAAAAATAATGACACCCACCTTTATCTCCTTACTCACGTTTTATTCACAGTGGAAAGGAACTGTCGGCACGTGGTGATGTATTGATTGGTCTCGACCCGACAGAGAAAGCAGGGAAAAAATATCGAACTGGTCCTTTCAAAGATGATAAATTTGACATAACAATTTATGCAGCTATAAAAATGAGCAAATGGAAGTTACTGGCCGGTAACAACGGACGTGAGTATTTACAATGCAAGTACCACGTTGGTCTAGAAACTGATCTCATATGAGCTGAATTCAATGTTATTTGATGTAAACAGTAAATACACTGAGATTTCTGTCTTGTTTGACATTGAATTTACATTGTCATGTACACAATGCTGGTTAATCTAAATGAATATATCTAATCTACTATATATTATTCAAGCTAAACTAATACTCATGATTAATTTACTGATTTACTGGGAGGCCAGCAATTAGAAACTGCCAGCACTAGTGTTAACGACTGCTATCCTCGGGAGCGGACATCCGGGCGTTTTCACCGCCTGGCAACCCTCGCGGTGAAAACAAAGACCAAAAACTCGCAGAAAATGGTACTTTGGGATGATTGTTGAGACTCCACTGAACAGTGTAACAAGATTAGCCCTACGTGTGTAACATATATAAATTTGGTTGTTCAGGATTACTTCAAAGTTGAGTTTGTGTTGTTTTCTCGAATTTTCATCGGCTCGACCGGCGTTCCACAGAAGCGCGCACCGAGCCCATAGAAATGCATGTACAGTGGTGCGCGTCTTAGCAACATGGAACGTTTTGTAACGTAGCTCCGCCTCCGAGGATACCAGGAAGTATTTTTGATTACAACATACGCATTCGGAGTATTTAGAAAACTACCTGTATTTCAATATAATTCAATATGACATGTTTTACTAATTCAACTCAATTCAATCAATTACATTTTAGCCCGTAATTCATGGAATATGGCAGACCCAGTCGGGGGTCAAACACGAGATTTGGATTTCGACGAAACACGCATGGTTCGGTTATATGACCTAGTGGATGATCCTTCTGAAAGAACTGATGTGTCCGAGGAAAAACAAGAAATAGTACACAAGATGCTCGCTAAACTTGATGAATATGCTAAAAAAGCTGTGCCACCGCAGATGTAAAAAGAACCTCGTGTTGACAGTAATCTGATTGGACTCAAAGATGTCGGCATAATGAAACTAATATTCAGGATGCACGATAGCCCTGCGTACAGTGCAGTGTGTACGAGGACGCGTTCAGTTGATAGATGTCCCCACCACAGCCCTGCGTACCTCCATAGACAAAGTCCGGGTGCGCAAGTTAAAAATAAGGTTTCCCAGCCGAAATCGGGTTGAAATGACGAATAATTATCCGAAACAA